AAAGTATTGTCATTAAAGAGATGCCATGGAAAAGGATAACAATGAATTCTGGAATGACAGTCCTCTTAAACATCAAAAGACCTGCTCCACCAGGTCACAATGTTTCTTTGTTTGTACGTACTGTTGCCTGGAGCATTCCAGGCTCCAGCTGTATGCAAGGGATACACTTTGATTCTTCCCAGCTAAACAAAAGGGTAAAATTGGATTCCTTTAGTTTTCATTAGAGCAAATTCACTTCTAGAGTAGAATTTTCGTTCTTGTATTTGGAAGTTTGTCTGTGGAAAAGCCTTTGGAAGTGTACTGTAGTTGTCTTAGTTGTATGAGGTTTTTTTTATAGTTCTTGAGCACCAAGCTGTCAAAAGCCCATTGAATGTTGCTTTTGTCCTGTTGTATTCAAACAAGAATGACTGCAGTCATTGGAAAATGTAAGTTGAGATTGGTTTTGTGCAGCATTAGCCTGTGTTTTATGGTATCTAAACAAAACCAGTAGATACTGTGGGAGTAGAGGAATTCCTCATGAGTGTTTTTATCTGGTGAAACTTGGTCAAAATAACCTCATGTAGAAGGTTGCACATGTGTCGAGCCGGTATGGTTTTTTACTGCTGTTTCACTTGCCTGCCAGAGTAGGGTAGTCTTTTAGGAACACTGTTTGTATTCTCTGCTGTAATCAGTCTTTACTCTCTACCTCCTATTATGCAGGAAGGAAGGAAGGCAGAGGAACCTCATATTATGAGGTTATTATTATATTATACTATTATTAGAGACCTACCTCCTATTGTGCAGGTAGAGGAAGAAAAGTGCAAAATAACTGCACAGGCAAAGGCAGATGATAATTTACTTAATTTTCTGTATCTCAGAAATTCTTTATGACCCTTATTTTTACCCAGTCACGGCTCCTGAGTAATACTCCTGGTTTTTTTCCCCTTCTTTAGAAGCATGTGAAATGAGCAGATATGAGTGTAAAAGTTCAATTCATTTAGATGAAAAGATAAGAGCATACAAAGTGGTACCCAAGAAAAATGCTTTGAAACATAACAAGATTTTTTTCCACGCAGGAATAACTTTAATAATGTTTCACTACTGCTGCAGTAGATGACTTTGTAGACTGCTCAGGTGAGTTTGCTGGTTAGTGATTGATATGGTGCATTTGCCTTTTGATTGATTTAAAGTCTTAAGTGGGTCAGTTGTGGGGATAAGTAATTAGTGTGCGAGCCTGAATCAGGATAATCTGATTATCTTGCAAAGTACGTAGCTTATTTGAGTTTAAAATTTCATCTCAGCAATATGGAACACACATTTGAAATAGCTGTTTGCACTTTTGCACCTTCATGTCTCCATTCATCCTCCAAATTGCTGGAAAACATCCCGGTAGCCAAGTGCCACGCGCCGCTCGCTCACCCCTCAATCAACAACAGTGCTGATAACAGATAGTAACAATGGGTGATAACAGAGAACGATTTACCGATCCCACCACCGACCTGACACTCAGCCTGTCCCAGAGTCCGCCCCTGCCCGACTGGCCCCCTTTTATGGTGAGCATGACATCACATGGTATGGAATAGCCCCCGGCCAGCTTGGGTCACCTGTCCTGGCTCCTTGGGAAATTAACTCTATCCTTGCCAGAACCAGGACAATCCTATTCCAAACAGGACCCAAAGATCTTTGATTTCACTTAACAAATACACATACGCTTACCAGTTTCAACACAGTGTACAATGAAACTAAGTAGTAACAAGATGTACCTTGTGTACTTAAAAATTAGATGCTTAAAGAGTTGGAGCTGCACTTAGAGATTTTTGTGACATGCTTGTACTTGTGAATTTTTGACACTGTTGAGACAATAGGCATTTTCAGAGAGGTAGAATTTCTAAGGATGTTGTTCAAATATAGACTTTGTCTCGATAAATGTTAAACAAGTAGTAATGAGCTGGAAGGAAGACCCAAAGGAGACACTTTCTCAAATTCTGTGAGGACCTGGGGAGTGAGAGGGAGGCAAACAAAATAACTGATGCTTTCCATGGTAGTGTGGATTCATACCTTTTTAAAGATGCAACTAAATCATCTCTGCCAGCAACAATTTGTTCCTGTAACTGTAATAATGTATCTGAAGAGCAAATTTTTTACTTTTTGAATAGTGAAAATAGAGCCTAGTGTTTGATAAGCTCAAAATATGAGACTAGAGTCCTTAGTTAAAAGGAGGTTTCTTAATTTCATTATCTCATCCTTAATGTCTGCTGATAAACTAGACTGAGAAGGTTTATACACTGGGCTATGTCTCAGAAAAATTTTGTATAAATTTCTGAATCTGAAATTCAGATTTAGTTTTTCTTTGGAGGAAATGGAAGAACGATTATGAACCTATATTCTTAGGCAAACTTTGACTGGAGTCTCTTCAAAGTGCCAGTGCTGTAGAATGAATCTCTATAGGGGAGTTAGTTATATTATAAAAATAAACAAGTATGCTATAGGTTTGACATTAAATTAGGAATTAAACACTGTTTTAAATGCAAGCTAGTTCTGGTTTGTTTGTTGGTTTTTTTTTTTTTTTTTTTGTCTGCTTGGTTGCTTGGCATTAATGACATCTGAGACGAAAATCCAAGATAAGAGAATATAAGGTTTCTCTATTTTCTTTCACTTTGCTCTTAATTTTTGTTCTCATTTTTCTCTTCCATTCACATTCACTTTCTTTTCCATGTTTGTAAAGACCACTGTTAGAAAGTACATAAATGTGTATATTCTTTGAATTCTACTGTGGCTGCTATCAAATATGAGGTACAACAGAGATTTTTTTTTCTTGAAATGTTTAGTGTGGAGAAAAATATCCTTCATGCCTCCCTACACTATTTACTAAACATTATCTGTTCATGGTTGTTTGTTTTGAATTTGCTACACAAGTTAGCTGGATTAAATTACCTTTCTCATCTGCTGAA